TGCTTTAAACTATTTTAAATGTTTTTCTAGTTATTATTTTAACACAAAAAAGTTGAAATTTAGCAACAATTACCTGCATTTATAAATAATATGCCCAAGAACCTTCTACAAACAAGAAGCAGGTGTATATTACACACAATTACATGTGTTTGTTTGAATATGATTTTCTATAATTCAAGGCATTGTTTTTAGGAATAATACAACCTGGAAATGCAGATTACACTACAAATTGTAGCTTGTAAAAGTTTATTACCACACCATAACACACCATAAACCCACGATCACAGCGCGGACCCGGGTGTGTTTAATAATGGAGACAATATTCGTGTGTACAAGTATAACCTTCATTTTATTTGTTTAAAAACAGAAACGTTTATTTCAGGGCAGACAGATTAAAAACATCCAGTAGATTGGACAGACATTTAGGTCCAGACAGGCTCACAGAAACATCTGTGCAACACAAAGGACACAAAGCAAAACAAAGTAACTTATTATGGTTTATTAGTTTTTCATCTTATGTATCTTACATACAAATTTTACATGGTAAACTGTCACTGTTATGACCCCCCCCCCCCCAANNCCCCCCAAAACCCTAAACTCAGATAATCGAAATGTACAATTGTAAGCCCTTTCTCTCAGTCAAAGCCCATTTCTATCAAACCCGGTTGGCAGAGGACAAACGCTTGGACGTCGACAAACTGCAAAATGAACCATTTAAAACAAGCGCGGAAATTCTGCTGTCATTTCAGAAGACGACCAGCAGGTCTGTTGGTGAGTCTCACACCTTGTTGAAACACGGCCAGGTAGGAAGGCTGTACAGGACAGGGCGTTGTAACAAGGCCAGCATTTTCTTCTTCTTGAAGGGCAACAGAAAGCACAGCCAAAGATATACAAAATAATAAACACTTTATGATTGACAGTGTTTACAGACTGTCTACCAACTACAGTATTATGCTCAAAGAGGTGAGTGGCATGCTTCTTCCTCTATGTAGCATGAGATGAGGCTATTATACTGACCGCCACAGCAAATCCAATACACCTCATGCACATTATGAATGTACACAGTATCAAAACATCACATTGGCAGGCAGCTACTGAAGAGCAACTGATGATCCTCGTGTAACCAACAGAACACTCCTATCTATTGTCCAAGTGCTTTTTTTTTTAAGTATATACATTTACAAAAACAAAAATGGGAAATGAGTCAGAATATAAAACATTCAATGGACAGATAGGAAAGGCCTAGGAATTTCTGCTCCAAGCCCCCACAGCTTCAGTGTGGGAGTCACTTTGGTGACAGGATTTAACAGCCTCTGTGATAGTGAGAGCGTTCACCAAGGCTCAACTGAGAAGACATTCATTTGAGAGTATACAATGTTTAAACAATGCAGGGAGGGTTGAAGAAATTACAGATGCAAGCAAGTAAAAAAAAAAATATATTAACAATGACAAGCAAAAAGATGAACTTCGCCCAGATTACCTGCTTTACAAGTCAGGTTTGGAATTAGTGGTTAAGAAAAAAACTGAGCATCTTTATGACAGCGGGAGGGTCTTTTCTTCATAGGCCTCATATACTCATATTCATTTTAACAAATGTGTGCCAGACAAACGTTTGTAAACGTATCATTTTACATAACTTAATGAGATGGTCTGAGCTCTCTGTGACAGACATATCCCTGTCAGTCAGCTTAGGTTTACTGAGGGATTTGTGCTGGAGTCTGTGATCTGGTTGGGCAAAAATAAGACATGTGACTGTCAATGTCAGACTACTTCTCTGGAATCCGAGCAATAAGGCCGATGTCCAAAATGACCTTTCTCGGGCTGTATCTGACACGTGTGTGAGAAAAACCTTTACACACAAGACACTGGGGTCTGAAATATCAACCTAAAATCCAAAGGCAATGAACCAAAAGGCAATAGCTTAAGGGAGGGGGGGGGGGGGGCAAAAAACAACTCAGCTCTAAAAAAGGAAAAAATGGCCACAAGCGAAGCGCTGAAACGAAATAGGCTGAGAACCATGTTTGTAAACGTGTGGAAGCTCTTCTTTTGCTTTCCGAATGTCTACGACTACTTGAACGGAAATTCAGGGGACCTCCTGGTTGAGTCTTTAACAGTCTCAACAAATACTTTTCCTTGATGGTCTGTGACAATCCTTTATTAAAGGGTTTCATTAAACCCCCCAAAGCTACAATTTTCTCAGACTTGCTTTTCTCATCACTTTTTGTTAGAAGCATACCACTTTAAAAGGCCTCTTTCTCGAAGTCTACTGTGGAGCAATTGGAAATACCATGATGTGATGATGAAAGGCAAACTCTCAAATAGCACCTCACATCCTGTACAAAGGTGTCCTACTTATGTCGACAGCTGTGTTATTTCTCTATGTTAAAGCTGGGAAAGCGGGACGTAGTGGTAGTAAGACACTACCTGAGATACAGGCCGCCCTCCTTTCACAGCTCTGCCTCCATTTAGGATACAGACACTTTGTGGGCAATATCCATGTAATGGCTACTGGATTAAATCAGAAAAAGGCTTATGGAGTTATTACTTCCTGCCTCTTGGAGGTATATGAGCAGTGGCACCCCATAAATCAATGCCGGAGTGCCACTCTTCCATGTTGGCTTAAATCATCTGACTACAGATCATTCCTCCGCCTGTTAGCTTCGGATCGGCTGAATCCAACAGGGCCATAACATCTAAGGGCAGCACAGGGGAATCTGTGTGTGTGCGCAACTGCTGTGCTTCTGTACACAAATCCTAAAAAGAGGTTTCCCGGGGCTAGCCCAGATGGTAATGTAGTATAAAATCATCATGGAAGTTTTTCTCATGAAGGTAGCAAACATGTTTAAGCCACGCTGACTTGCTCTCCCTCGCTCTCTGTCTGTTATTGTAGCAGGACGTTTCTTCATAGGCTGCGTCCCATAATGATGACATCTTTGGGGAAGCCCTCCATTTTGGCTACTTCAAAGCATCCCAGTTTACCATAGAAGTCCAACATTCTCTTATCAGTCTGACGAACCTTACAGAACGCGCCAAGGGACCCTGGAAAGACAAAAACAGACGACAACTAAGTCAGTAAAGAAACAAACATCCCTATAATTAGTTAGAAAATCAGTATGGCCAAATATGGTGTTAATCTTATGTGTTCCTGACCAATAATAACCTGGTTATATCCTCTGTCACGGGAAAGAAGACTATTTCAGTCGATGCATTGATTCTAGTTCTTAAAGCCTAACGCCAGGTTAATTTTAGTAGTTTGGATGACATGGTGCTATATTTGTGATCCTTAATTCAGACGTTACTTGCTAAATAAGGCAAGAGTACTAGATGATACAAACAGAATGTGTACACATAAGGCCTTAATCTCAATTAGAAGCATTTTCCAATTATACTGATAGACTATATCTTATGAAAGCTCAACACAGAAACCTTACAACTAAATATTCCAACACCCTCCATCTCTACTATAAAGACTAATGCAATAATTTGCACACGTAGCAGCAATTAACACTGCTGTCATAATTGAAGATGGCTTCCACCTACCGTTGGCCTTAAGAGAAGATAGAAGACATCCCATCATGCTTTTGGCCACACTTGGGTCTGTGACCTTGGCGTGAATGTCAACCTTGATGAGAGAGGGGAAGTTGGAGAGGAAGGAGTCTGGAAGAACCTCATCCTCTTCGTGGAAACTCAGCATCATCTTCTACAGGGACAGACAGAGATGCTGAATTGAATTTTAATACTAGGAGGCACAATCGTATGCCACCTGAAAGATGGATTAGGATCCTACCTCAGCCTCTGTGAGGTCCTTCTGACAGTCAGGTTTGTTGTATTTCTCTTGCATGAAGGGAATCCAACTCAACTTGCATTTCTTGAGGAAGGGCTTGACATCCACGGTGCCGAGAGCATAACCGCAGATCCCTTCATCATCCTCTAGCACAAACCCATACTCAGAGCTCAGTGATAGGAGACCTCCTACTAACCTGTAAGCAAACAATAGGGATTTTGTCAGCCATGTTAATTTGCACTCAAGGGAATAAAACTGCAGTCAAGGCTTTAGTCTGGGCTGATTGTAAACAAATAGATCTCCATATTTTACCTGTCTCCTATGAGGTCAGGATCCTCATCAGAGAAAGGTATGTCCTCAAGACCTTCACAGTACATTTCTTTACAGATTTTATAAACTGCAGCCTGCAAACAGACAAACAGAAAGAAAGAAACAGCTGTAATTGAGCTTAAAGAAATTTTGCCTTTAGATTCAGCACCATGCAATATATCTGCTGATGTACAGAACAGGAGGGCATGACATTGTGGCATATTAAGCGCAGAGCATTCACAGCTTAAACTAGGCCAGTTCTGCTGGGAATACAAGATGGCCAATAGAATTTCTGCAACCATACATTTATAACATTTAGGCTTTAGTAACGCTTATTTACTGTGTTAGTACTTGGGGACAAAATACTTTTTGTCAGTTCTGGTAAAAATAAAAGGTCTGGACACAGCGCGCGTGAGCAGTACGTGACAGTTGCCTCGCACGCCTGTGGTGTCCACACAGAGAGCGTTTCTGCTCCGACTCAGCTGCTGCCAGCACTATCTTTCTACACTGAGTTTGGCTTTGATAAATACAATACAATACAATACAATACAATAAAAGACTTGTCAACAAATGAATGGATTCTGTCCACATAAATGCTAGAGTGCTTTTAATCTGAAACAAAAAAAAAACTGTTAAGGTAAAAAAACAAAAATTGTCTGTGAAACTATAGTTGAACGTGTATATGTCGCTGGTATAATGTTGGTATTAGTATGAACAGATCCTTTGCACCGTACATTTTATGTGGGGTGCGGCTGCTCTAACCTGTTAAAATGGGCAAGGAAATAAAAAAGGGAGGCGTTCTGCGTTGCACGCACTTTAGTTGCACAGTGGCATGACTACAAATAAACATCTTACCTCATCTTTGGGAAAGTACGGCCGTATGGAATAGAGTTTGGAGGTTGGCATTGAAGGTGGAGGTTGGTAGAAAAGATCGTTTGCCGCTTCTATTGGCAACAATCTCTGTGGGTATCAAAAGAAACAGGTTCAGTTGCCTGAGACCGGGTGGTGTGCTGCTTTGGCTGACTGCCTCACTGTGCATTTGCTACAGCTGAGCCACTATCAAACCAAAAGGAACTATAACAACCGAGCAAAGTGCTTTGGAAGAACAACTATTGTAAAAAAAGAAATCGGACATTCCTTATTGATCTGACAGTGGACAACAAGAGCAAACATCACATCTTTCTCATTTTTGCTTAAGGAACATAGCACAACAAGCACATATTTGCTTTTCAGATATAATAAAACAAGGGTGGTATTTTGGTCTGACTAAGGTTTTACTGGCTGAAGGAGATGCTCCTTTCCCTTTTGTAAGACATCGCAATATTTCGCTGCGCAGGACCCTCCTGTTGAGAAAAATAATGATGCTGGCGCAGAGAGACAGAGAGAACTCCAGGAAAAAAACCAAAGTGGCAAATTAAATGTGAGCAAACTGAGTCATTCAATATCAGTTGCCATCATGAGTTTTGCTACTCTTCAAGGATGGAAATACTAGTTTTGGCTGGACAGGTGTGTTTGATCATGGAGTTTTCCCATTGCAAACATGCTTGCGTTCTCGCGGGCGCTGCGATGCTTGTGCGTGCGCTTGCAAAGGGTTGACTTGGTAATTTGTGCGCTGTGCTTTCCTGCAAAGAAATGAGATGTCATGAAAATAAAACCTAGCCATGCTCGCTTGCGCCGCGTGCGCTAGGGAAAAGCAGCATCTCCTTGGGCAGTTGCTGAAAGAAATTCAAATTAATCAGAAAATGCCATGCCAAACTCTGGCTGTAAGCTATTTTGTCAGGATGGGTTTCAGGTCACCCATTCCCACCCCACAGTCTGACAATATCCCAAAGTAATAAAAGGAGATGAATGTCTTTGGAGAACAAGTGAAGGGGAAGGAACCCGGATGGTATGAAGCCTGACCCATTACAATCAGCTCACCTTCGACAGACCAAAGCCCTTCATACCTACGCATATATTACCATTGTCTTCTTTGCTAACAACACTCTTTTTTTTTTTTTTGATTGCTGTAAATTCAGTGCATTAGATACCTGGAACTCTCCTGCTAGACCTCCCCTAAAGGCCCAGGGCTCTTGGTCTCCTCTAAGGAATTGTGCTGAGGACTGACTACGACACCCTGTTAGGAGCAGAGCCAAGCGGACATTGTTACCACAGGATGGGGCTCTCTGACACAGATGAAGCGAGTGGGGAGATGGGGAGGAAGGGGGTCATATTTATCTAGTAGCATAATCCATTTAAATAAATTATTTTTGTTTTAATAAGTAAAACATAAAAAAGGACCTAATTTGGAATAGATAAATTATATTCAGAGGAAATATTTTATGATAAAATGGGGCTCGAGCAACTAAAGCTTACATGTGTGCGAGAACAAATCAGGTCCAAGATTTAAATTATTCAAAAAACGTTTCGTGAGCTCTGCACCTTAAATTCTCCACGTCAATATGACAATGGCAAACTGCTCCACATTACATGGTACGCAAGTCTTAAGAAAGAAGTTCTTTCACGCAGTGGAACGCACGCTCTCCGAAAACTGAACTTAAGTGTAGTTAAGCCGACGGACTTCGTAATTAAATACTGGCCATCAGAACCACAACCCCATACTCTCTATGGACTGCAAAAGTAAGCTTCAGCTGCCGTCACCCCACTCATCTTAGCACCCCGTGTGAAGTCACATTCTCATCTTATCTGCCTCGTCACATGACTGGGGAGCATGAGTCATCAAACCAGGAAGACACAAGGAGAGGTAGGATGCACATTCCCTGAGTTAAAGTGCCTCTCAGCTTAATATTAAAAGCCACAATCAGACAGACCGCAAGTACGCTGCAGGGACAACGCAGGTAAAGTGCAGTATATATCTAAAGCACACAGGGTTTATATGGTCTGTACCCAGTAGCGTTGCTGCTAACAAAGTCTAACCCTGGTTGACGAGAAGCCCTGTCATGTGACCAGACAAATGCAGCGCGCGGGAATGATACTTAACATTGCTTTACATATGAACCCTGACACCTAAAACAATTCCTCTGAAGAACTGACACAACACAGCATGCAGATGCACCCACGGGAGGAACTCAGAACTTGCTAACCCAAATTTAAAAACCCCAAAACTGACGAAGGAATGATCTCCTAGTGGATTACGTCCACCTGAATGATCTATTCAGACTGCATTGTCTTAACACAATCAGTTATGCAGAAACTCTGTTCTTGCATGGTCATGGTGTGTATGTGAGCTCGTGACTACACATCACAAATATTCCTGAGTAGGATGAGGATCATGTGCTGTGGTTGAATTTCAAAACCAAGTGTAAATTCCCTTGAGTAGGTGCATCAGGCTGGTCTGAGCCATTTCTATAGGCCTAATGACAGAAACAAAAAAACAAGTTAGAGAGATGCTGCCAAAGAGAGAAATTTGGGAGTTAACACTTTGGATTCATAGCTAAATCGCAGCGCAAAATGTGACTTCATCCGGAGGGCTGCTTCCTTTCCTCCAAAATCAATCTTTTACATTTATAAATCTAGTTTATGAAAAAATAAATAAAAATAAATCGGTTTAAAAAAAATTAACAAAAAAAAAAAAAAAGAGACAACGCAGCACTGTGCATACATCGGCCACTGTCGATCCAATAGCAGTAGAAACTTGTACTGTGGATTCTTCCATCTGTACACAGTGAAGGGAGAAAACAGTAGAAAATAGATATTAGTAAGTGTTCTCAGTACAATAACCAGGGAGGTTGTGACTAAGTGCCGGCTGCACAGCTTCTACTGAGTGGAAAATATGGGGACTGATGTAAAAACCTGCTAATAGCAACAGCAGAAGCCAACGGTTAGGCACTGAGGTTACTATGAAGAATATTCAAACTAGATTTATGGGACATTTGACTTCCTCAATTTTGCTTGAGTGGTTGCAATCATTTCCTGGTGCGTTAAACCAGTAATGTGGATTTTTGATGTGGTTTTGCCAGTGTGGGTATGCTGCCTGCTGTGTACTGTGGGCTAGAATCCTCAGCTCTACCATATAGCCGGACAGGACAGAAACCTGCGAATGAAACTGGGTTACGGGGGGGTAACCTACAGGCCATGCTGGTGCTTCAGACTATTCAAAAAGAACACTCCAAAAAAAGATGGAGGTGTTATCACGAGGCTGAATGTCACTCAAACTGCACCACAGTGCGCCATCTGAAAGAATGAAAGAAAGTGGGAGGTGAAGGGAGAGGAAGAAAGTGGGGGAGAGAGAGTATCCTCTCTTATTCAAGGTGATGGATCCACCCTGATACAGATTGAGTAAATGATTCAGAGGGTTAAAATCTGCAAACAACCTCATTTTAGAGACTACTCAGTGAGGCAACAACACAAAACGTTATATTCATACGTTTTTTTGTTAAAATCAGTCAATTCAGATATAAATAGATCAGCTTATGCACCAGAATGGCCTTCCACAGTCAGTCAGTCAACTTGCTCTCCAAGCTCGCGTGCGCGCTAGGGCATGGAGGAGGGGGGGGGGGATGGGGACTTCCCCCTGGCTCCCATCCCCACAGACAGAGAGATGGAAGCAAGTGTGTCTGTGTGGGAATGCAGCAGTGATGTTACTGGATACACAGCAAGCAGCAGTAACCCTGCTGGGACGTTTGCCACAGAGGCCCAGTTTAGATATCACCAAGATGGAGTAGCTAGTTATGGAATAAATAAGGAGGATGCTAGCAGTGCAAGCGGCATTCAGTCAGATGAAAAAAATAAAAGAAAAAAGAAAACAATCAACATGTGTGAAACACGAGCAATTAATCAAATCATAACTATTGAGAGGTGATGCATCTGGCCTGATCTGTACTAAGCTGCTCTATAATAAACTGCCATCAGTTAAATTTGGGGCCACTGCTCAAGAGTCTCATCCTGCATACAGGCGGTGGCCAAAATCTCTACGAGCCATGTTACTATAAGTCTTTGATCAGTAATACTACCATCTGTTAAGCAGACTGTGCAAGATGTGTAAAATAATTATAAATTTGCCTCATTTAACTACACAGCACTGGACTACAACATAATCCATGCAGCAATCACTTAAGTGTTTTTCTCTTTATATAATCTGATTATTTATTTATTTATTTATTTAAATGGTAATTGAATGAATTGTGTTTAAATGTGTCTCTGAGAGTAACAAATGTCAGGACTACAAGACTCGCTCAGACTATTGCTACGCTACTGCTCTCTAAGAGTAAGCGCCTTGTGGTTCCACTCATACATACCTAGCCACTGGACAAAAGACTTGACCATAGAAATGATGCTTTTGATGTCCCAGATGTAAGGGTAGAGGTCATACAGGATGGTGCGGTTGGCTGAATTGGACAGCCGTGTGAACATGTGGATGACTGAGCAGCACATCTCCTCAAACTTCTCGGCCCTTGATTGCCATTCTGCGACCTGCAGGCAACACAGTGATTGGAAATAAGAACAAACGATGTTGAAAAAAGGGCAGCACTAAACCATTTTGGTTTTGGGTCATAGTATGGAAAGCACAGGTTTGACTTGTAACATTAAGAATTGTTCTGTTTTAGTCAATAAGTCATGACTTTTGACATAATTAATTGTTTTATTTACCCCTTTTCTGAGACATGTCAACAAGGCAGATGGTTTTAACAAGGGAGGCTGTGTTGTGTGTATGCTCTGTGGTACAAGTGCACTCCATCTCCTATCATAACCACACCACCCAATGGACAGTATGGGTAGTACACATCCACCATTTTGTTTTTAGCAACACTTATCACAAGCAAGTTCAGTTAATAATGAAGTCGTTTTCTCAGATAGACCTTTCTCTCTCCGCTCCTGTGTGTTTATTTCAATGAATGAACCCACCTTTTCAGTTTCCTTTCGCTTGCAGTTGACACTGACGACGCTGCTGTTGGCTCTTAGCCAGTTGAACTCCTTTAACATCTGCACGGCCTTGTTTCCGTGCTCATAAGGCAGGTAGAAGAGCTCTGCCAGCAAGCTCAGGTCCTCAAGTGTGAGGGGCTCTGCTGTGAACAGGGGCTTCTCATTGGGCCCAGGCACAAACACATCCTGAGGACACAAACCAGCAATAATGTGAATTTGTAGGGAATCCTAATTTGTTTTTTGCCTTCCATTACAAATATAGAGGGAAAAAGATAACTCACAAATGTTTGCGCCACCTGTTTGAGCTGATCGTCTGTTTGCATAGGGGCGATGTCGCTCCCAGAGTCCTCCTGGATAGATTCTTCAGGGGACTTTGACTCTGCAAGACTTTCCTTGTCAGTATCCATGGGCTTCAGGTCCTCAGCCATCTTGTCAGCCATGATAGGACCAATGTGCTTTTCCTCTGGGTCAGTCTCTACTTCTGGCTCTGGTTCATCCACCATTTTCTCAACCACCATCTCCATGGGCTCCTCATCTGAATCCTTCTTCTCTACCTCCACCTGCACATGTGTAACATAAAAATACTTGTAGAACCATAGAGATGCTGCCCTCCTATAATCAAATGCTTAAGAAATAAAGTTCATTTTAAGTATCGTACCAAACCACAAAGAATGACCCTTACCTCTTCTTCCTCCTGAGGTATTTTTGCCATGGGGTGTGAGAGTGGATCCAGACAGAGCGGTGGCATGGCTGGAGACATGATGGGCTGCTGGAACACAGTTGTGACTGTTGTGGAAGAGCAAAGAGAGGGAGCTGCCATGGATGACACGTTGATGGCTGTGCTTTTGGCACCACTCTGAGGCACCTGTCGGCCTGAAAGACAGAGTTGAGCCTCACTGCATTTTGTTCTTCAATTATAAAGTGATAATTTTAGTGTAAAGTGCAAATCCTTTAGCATAGACATATGATATAATAATATGACTGCTCTTACTGTTGTATTGATGAGGAACACAAAATTCCCCCAGCCATTCTGTGAGAGCCAGTTTTAGAGCAAGCTGTGGGCTGTAGAGCATATCTGTCTCCAGTTCTTCATCACTGCCCTCATTCTCCAACTTGATCTGGATGGACACTGTGCTGTCCTCGCCATCGGCTGGAAAAGGCACCAAAAAAAAGCATTAATGAATGACCTGCATTAAGGTACCACATGAGATCACAGCGTACCCACGTCAAAACCTTCGGACCATACTTACTCATGACCACATCCTTGCGCACCCCATTCATATTAGACTTGTACCAGGTGGCCAGAGTGTGGATCGCTACAAAATTGGACTCAAACTCGCAGTTAGGGTTGGTGAGGACTCCCTTCAGCCTGGGGATGAGCTCTGTGGAGCGGCCTTTGTATGGACCCAAGAAAAGCCTCTTTTGGTCATAATCATTGGCGTGAATGTTGTCCCAGATCACCGGGGCTCTTCTTAGGATTTTTGACACCTCCTCAATAGACTCCACTGTGATATCTTTGGACACCACCTTGGGGCCTGGAGAAAAGAAAACAAATCCTAATTATTTGTTGTATCTACAACTCTCATGTATGACTGCATGCTTAACAGTCGGTGATGGTGTTGGTCAGTTGACAGGAAACTGTGTTAACCTGTCCACAGCACATCAATGTCAGGCAGTAGCTTCTCTCCTACAGTGTGGAGGTAGGGGGACTGAGTGACATTTGGGTAGCAGAATGTTCCACAGTATTCTGTATTTCAAGGCAAGAAAACAAACAAAAAAATTAATACACAAGTATGATGAAAGATGAAACAATTGTGGGAAATGTGCATAAGATTCAGACATGACTGAGGTACCTGTGGGACAGAAGAGGAAGGTTTCGGGCTCTCCCAGGTACTGGTAGATTTCATTGGTAATGGATACCTGAGCGTGTGCAAATGAGCTGAACACCTCTTTGTCAGCAGGGCACATGTTGTGGTCAATATCGTCAAAAAGTAAGGCAAATGACTTGCAGCCAAAGTGAGTAACCTGAGGCGGAGAGAAAGGTTGGAAATGAATGTAAGATCTGTGAACTCTGTGAACTTGAAGATATATACTGACAGTATGAGCACATTTTTTCTAACTACTGTCACACAAAATGTTGCAATACCTGGTCAAGTTTCCTCTTGAGTGCAGAAACCTCTTTCTGATTGGAGAAGGTGATATCCAGTCCAGGGGAAATGGCATAGATGAACTCAATCCCATGGTCCTTAGCAGCACCGATTAAAGTCATGAGTTGTTCTAGGAGATAGTTGGGGGGAAGGTTACTTACCAAATGAATTATTGTGCTTTTATAACAACTTATCTGAAAGCTCTTTTCCACTTGTTTAAAACTAGAATATGCAGACTGTCTTTTTAACTTAGATAACTAAGCATTATTCATTTTTCTCGCCCCGAGACAGCCGATCCCATGATCTGTTCTGTAGAGTCACCTGCTTCCTCCACTGAGTACAGCTCTCTCCAGAACATTCTGTGCTTGTAGTCATCTTTGGGTGCATAAAGGTATGTATTCAGTCCCCATTTCTGCTGCCTGTGAAATTAAATGGCGCACAAAGTCAGTATAGCAACTCAAATTATCTAGCTATAATGTTATTAATGGTATTTAATTACCATGCCTGCTTAAATAAGTCACATAGTTCACCGTACCTTCTGAACAACTCTTTCCTCTGCTCCATTGTCCATGGTCGACCATAAAAGCCTGCAATCACAAACAATACATTCAGTTTCCATGCAGTCTGCAGTGCTGATAATCAACTACATTTCCTGTGCACACTTACTGCTGCAACTAACAATTCCCCCCCCCCCATGAGTGGGTTGGGCTGACATGCTATTTTTGTATACAGTTTTTCTGTACGTGACAATCAATCATTTTGCCTATGAATCGTACAAATGTAGTTGATTTACTAGACGCCCATATCATGTTTTATATAGTCTGATCAGAGACAAAACCACACAGAATTTAACAACTTATAATATGACACTGGTCAAAGCAAATCTTCACCCTACATTACAACCAATATAGCATACAATGGTAGGCATAATCTGCCAGTAAGATAAGATGGACCTTATTGATCCCACACTTGCTACAGCAGCTTCAGATGCAACACATTAAACACTAAATGTAATAGAAAAAACACAAGATATAATAAAAATAGATAGTTGTATGTACATATACATACAGCCTTTATACAGATGTGATTGATATGGTATATGTGCTTACAAATGACTATTAATCCAACATCAACATTGCAAAATTACTGTTAATCACCTTTTAATAACTCTTCAAATTAAATCCAACCCATCTGTCCGTGGACGACGTGTGACAATGTTTATTTATAATCTGCCTACATTATTGATTCGATTATCTTGTAACATATAATCTAATCTATGAGTGAGAATCGATTTCTGATTGTCTAATTGGACACTAGTAATGACTTCCCAACTCAGTAACAATAATCATTTGCCCCTTGGTAGCAGGATTGCTGCGGTATTTTGATGCCTTATTTAAGACTGTATACAGATCACAGGTGAGTCATTTTTTTTTGGTTTTACTCTATATTCAATATTACCTTCCACGACCCCACTTATGAACTTCCTGTGGCCGGTCGGTTCGACTGCAATGTCGGACTCTTCCACCGGGCCAAGGGCCTCGGCACAAGCCTCTCCAGAGACCGGGCTGGGGCTCTGCTCGCCGTCCACCGGAGGAGTCTCCAGCGTCTTATCCTTCTGAACCATTGCAAGAGATTTCCCTCGATTTAAAAAAAAAAAGCCACTAGATTCAGAGAGTGCAGCGAGGTTTTTTTTTGTGTGTGTGTGTTTTGCTTGTAAATGTAGCTCAGCAGACAAAATTCGCAAAAACCTGGAGGAAATAAATCGTCGCTGTCTTTCTTAACGTGAGCTAGCTGACGGTATTACCGAGTCTATCAAAGTGGTCGAAAATGTAGCGACTGCTTCTACAATATGCAATCGAAATTACTATCAGGTGCTACCGGACGACATTTGTATTGATTAATATATAAGGAAAAACAAGGCGTCGGTTCGTATTTGTCCGATCATGTTCTTCTCTTTATGGTAGATTTGCTCTCGTTTTTCGTTCGGTTCTTCCTGTTTACACCGAGTGCGCATGCGCACGGGACTAGATTAAACCAGTCAAAACTAGATCTGCGTGACAAAACACCGCCAAGATGTTTCCGTGTCAAAGAGATAGGCGACACTTCTGCTGCGCAACGCCAAACATCTGCCCACAGCTTAAATTATATACGGAAAACTTGTTTTTAAACCATTAAATGTCCACAATTACACAGTTGATTTACGAAGTTAAAGGACGGCGTTTGCATTTGTACAAAACGTCTTAATTACGCTCCAAAGTTATAAAACAATGACGGAAAAATACTCTGCACAGTTTGTGTGTGGTTATTGAGCGCAATAATAATCAAGGGGTCATAAAGGAGTTTACAAATGCTCGCAGAAGTCCTAAACTTGCAGCAAAAAACGCAGATATCTCTCATTGACTCGCTCTTTTCCGCGGTTGTGTTGAACATCTCGACAGCTTTCTAACATCTTGAAATTCCAGTCCATATTAGGAATGCAGCGGAGCTCCAACACACCACATTCAGAGGGGAGGGTGTGTGTGTGTGTGT